GGACCCACTTCCTCTAACTAGGACCCAGTTCCCAATAGTACATCCAGCTATCAGTGATACCTGATGGAGATTGGATCTTGAGGGCTCTGACCTAATTAGCAGTCTCCATCCCATTTGACACTTGTTGTATTGGGGACCATGCTTCCAATACAGGAGTCTTTTGGAGGGCATTCCAGACCTAAACCATAACACTTAATCAACTCAAGTAACCTATCACTGTGACAAAGAGAATCAGGCACCCTGGCTCAGCCAGATTATATGCCTGTTTTTTTGGTGGTGGGGAGGAGGCAGTAGGTGATATGCAGTTTGATATCAGAAGTAGAGAGGAGGTGTTTAGGGGAAATAATAGCAATAATCATCCAAGGGAAAGAGAACTTGATCATTTAAGAAATCCTGTAGAAAATGCCTCTTAATTTACCTTTTGTATGGCTTAAAGCCAGCACACACTATTTCATTTGAGGCATTCTAATTTTTCTTAAGAATTTTTTAAACATTTTTATTTTATCAGTTTGAATTTTTTTTCTACCTATAGTGGATATTTATTTGCCCCCTTTCTTTAAAAAAATCATTTAATATGTTCTCCTATTTCTACACTATCTTGATGAGGATTTTGTTGTATGTCATTTAAATAGGGAGCAGGAGACTTACAGTTGGCCATCTAGACAAATTTTCTCCTAAAATTTGAACTATAAAATAAGTGATAGAAGTAGCTATGTGATAGCATATGAAGTACCAGGTGATTCTTGTTGCACCTATGTGCCAGTGATTCCTATCCATTACTGTATTCTGCTTATGGTACTCTTGTTTTGATTCAGTGGGTTCCTGTCCTGTTCTTCTAAGACAGTCTCTCTCTCTCTCTCTCTCTCTCTTTTTTTTTTTTTTTTGTAAATAATAGCCAGTTTTCAGTGCTTACAAGCAGGAAACTTATTTTCAGAAGATTGTTAGAAGAAGGCAACTGCCATTCTTAAGAGACTTGATCTAGGAATCTGTGACAATAGATTATTATAAATATGACTTCTCTTCCTTGCCATATTGTGTTGTTTCCCCTTGATAATGGAGACTAGCATCAAATAAAGGCAGGAGGTTACACTAGAGCCTTCACTGCTCAATAGGATATTGGGAGCTGCCCTGGATGCAGGTGCCTAGTTAAGCCTTGATGCACCAGGTTCTGAACAATTATTGTCCTCAGTCTGGCATGGTAGTGCCAGGTTGTAGTAACTTGGGTGTTACCCCAGCTCAGATAACAAGGCATGGCTCTAAGAGTAGGAGTCACCTGCTGGGGTTGAGATACTCTCACCTGTTCCTTTATAATCTTACCCCTTTGTCTTTTTTGGGATAGAATGTTCCATGGAACCTCCCCTTGTGTGTCCCCCATATAAGAATAAAGAGTTCCAGTGGCTAGCTCTCTTTCCGTGGACCCTTAAGGTTGGAGAGCTGTCTTGGATTTTGAAAAGGTACTTCTGTTTGTTTACGTGCTTTCTTTGTCGTTTTCTTAAGTTATTGGAATAGTCAGATTTTTGTGAACCCAGCATTAGGTCGTCAGCTAGGATAGATGGTGATAATAGGGTATCGCTAGGCACATATAATTATTTAAATTTAAGTTAATTAAAATTTTAAGAGATTAAAAATTAACTTCCTTAGTCATGCTAGCTACATTTAAAATGTACTATAGCAATTCGTAGTTAGTGTCATATTGAAAAGTGCAGATTATAGAACATTTCCACCATTGCAGAAAGCTTTATCAGACAGCATTGTTGGACTGTTAAGGGTAGGGATTCTATCTTTGTTATTTACCAATGAATCTATAACACTTAGAACTGGGCTCAGCATTCATAGGCTCTCATTAAATATCTGTTGAATGGTGAAAAAGCACTATCAGCTGCATGCCAGGATTATCACAGTTGACTATACTTTGAAGGAGCTTGAAATAGTTCCATTCTATTCCAAAGTTTCTAGGTAAAATCTCCCATAGTTTTATTCTCTTTTAATTTGGCCCTCCATTCTACCTCCTATTTCTTTTCCATAATTATTTTTAAAGTACAGTGTACATACCTTATCATTTCTTACTCCCCAAACTACTCATCCTTTATTTTCTGATTTCTCCCCACCACTTCCTCAGTAGAAGCTCTCCTTTAATAGCAGCCTCTGTTGTAGCCTTCAGAATCCTTATTGTGCTATCAAGAAATGTTTTGTGATTCAACTTTTTTTTTTTTAATGAAGCCTCACTGAATCTGATTTTCTCCTAATGGCATGTAACCAAGAATCCCTTTTAAGTAGAAATTATTTTTCTTTGTGCAACAAAGAACTACAAGGGACATCAGCATTTATAAACCTTACTCTTGCTTTCAGATGATTATTTGACTAACCATGGTTAAAATGTTTTTCTTTTGATATTTGTTGCTTCTAGGTTGTCCCTGTCTTTTTTCTTTGCCGTTTACTGATCCGTTTACTGATCTCAATAATCTCTGAGGTCTTTGCTATCTGTCTCAACTTTTCTCTATTTTTCTATCTTGCCATCTTTCTTAGTGTCTGCACTAAGAAAGATGTTTTGTTGGGCTATTCAATCCTTAGACTTACAGTTTATCATAGCTTCATGCTAGCATTCTTTAAGTTTACTCTATTTTATGTTTGTTTATCTACTAGAACCATTTACTTCAAAGGCATAAATATCTTTCTCTTTCCCAGTTCATTCTCACTGAAGATACTGAAACAGGTAGTCCTCATGCTTTTTTTTTTTTCCATTCACTTTATTAATCTGGCTCTCTTGCCTCCTTTTAGTTTAGAAACTGCAACTCAATTGTGTTCCCATTTGTATATAAGCAAAGGCTATTAGATATGAATTCTTTCACCTTCTTGCTACCTTAGAATTTCAATATCTTTATCTCTTTTTATTCTCACTCCCCTTTCCATTATACTAAAAATATTCTTTCCGCTTTACTTCCAAGTGAGCCATTTCATTAATCCATTTCCATTGTTTTCTTTGAGGTCTTGCTCTATCATTTACTCCTCTTCATCTTTATTTTATCTTTAATTTCTCCATTTGAAGACTGTTACTTTGCTTTCAAGGTCTGGTTATAATTGCATCTCTTTTAAACAGCCCTAACTGTTCCCTTACCTGAGTTTTATTTCTTGTTGATTGATCAGATATATCTAAATTCTTGACCTGGACTCAACAGTCTTCTGTCTTCTGTTTTCATCATGATTTTGTAGAAAATAACTCTTATAAACTCAGTAACCTTAAAGCACCTTGTTAATAACATTCAGGAATATTTAATAGAGGAAATGCCCCCAAAGTTTGAGAACAATAGCATAGCTAGAATTATGAAATAAGAAGGTTATTGGTACTGACAAAGGAACAAGAGGGGCTGGGGATGTGGCTCAATTGGTAGCGCGCTCGCCTGGCATGTGTGCGGCCCAGGTTCGAGCCTCAGCACCACATACAAACAAAGATGTTGTGTCTGCCGAAAATTAAAAAATAAATATTAAAAAAATTCTCTCTCTCTCTCTCTCTTTCTCTCTCTCTCTCTAAAAAAAAGGAACAAGAGGAAGAGCAGGACTAACCATCTCTTTAGACTCATTGTTTTGGGTATTTATATGTAAATATATCAAAAGTAGTTGGTCATATTTTCAAGATTCTTTCATGTTCTATCTGTCTTACTAATTCAGGATTTGAGTTGATTCATTTAGTCTTTCAGCAGATATTGAAATCATACTGTATTCAATGCATAGCCCTAGGCTTTTTTCTTTTTTTTTGTATCAGGAATTAAATCCAGGGGTGCTTAACCACTGAGCCACATCACAAGCCCTTCTTATTTATTTATTTATTAATTTATTTATTTTTAAATTTTGAGGCAGGGTCTCATTAAGTTTCTTAGGTCCTCACCCTCCAGAGCCACTAGGATTATAGGTGTGTGCCACTGTGCCCAGCTACCAGTAGACTCTAAAGAGTATTATGGTCCCAGTTCTGATTGGGCAGATCAGATGTGCTGCTAAAGTCAAGTTATAAATGACTACTGCCAAATGAATTATATTTGAAAGGAATTTTTAAAAGGAGAAGGTTGAAGGGCCCAGCCTACCAAACCTAATTAGCATAAAGTTTTCTCTACAACATTGGTCATTTGGTCACCAGAAGGTTATGATTGAGCATGTATCATTTGTTTAGAAGAGAATGCAGTATTGGTCCTCTTCAAATGTCCATTTGTTTTGGATAAAAAAAACTCATTAGATATTTTATAGAATTCAGTATGGTGATCTTCATTAGATAATTTTCTTTTAAATCTGTTAGACCTGGAATAAAGTAGCAGTGTTTCTGATAGCATTGATAAATTATAGAACTTTTAAGTTGTATGGATCTGAGGTAACTTTTCCTAAACTGAACTACTTTTTTCTGATGACTTGACAACACATTCTATACTTTTCCACTGAAGGCCAGTTGTTCAGGCTGTTCTCTATGTTTATTAAAATCTTACTAATCAGATTTTGTCTCCCTGTAGTATTCCCTGGTAACTTTGGACAAACTTGATATCTCATCCTTGCTATACTCATAGTTTTCCACTGCAAAAAAAGTAATCTGTGTTTAAATTTTAGTAATATGTAAACACTGTCTAGCTGTCTGGAATCTATGATTGATGATTGAATCTATTACTTTTGTTTTTTATTTTTTATTTTTTGGTATCGGATTGAATCCAGGGGTGCTTAACCACTGAGCTACATCCCCATCCTTTTTAAAATATATATTTTAATTAGGGACAGGGTCTCGCTGAATTGCTTAGGGCCTCAATAAATTGCTGAGGCTGGCTTTGAACTCAAGAGCCTCTTGCCTCAGCCTCTTAGCTGCTGGGATTATAGGTGTGTGCTACCTCCCTGGCTTTGGATCTACCACTTTGCATAACATAATACCTGGTATCAAACAGGCATTTGATATAATTTATTGTCTAATTCAGTGAAATAATAAACTGTGTGTGGATGTGTAATGTCTTTTGATGGGTTGTGGTTTTTAGGTTAAAACTTCAACAACAAATTGTGAATATTGAAAATGCAGAGAAAGAAAAAAGTGAAAATTCTGATCTGAAACAGGTATGATTTTTATTTTGCTTTTATTTATTGATTTATTTTGTTATGGTACTAGAAATTAAATCCAAGGGTGCTCTTACCACTGAGTTACATCCCTAATTCTTTTTATTTTTTATTTTGAGACAAGGCATCACTAATTTGTTGAGGGTCTCACTAAGTTGCTGAGACTTCCCTCAAATTTGTAGTTCTCTTGCAAGTCTCTGGGATTACAGGAGTGTGCCTCACCCCTATTCCATGCCTTGCTTGCTTTTTTTTTTAGGTGCTTCTTTAAGTTGTTGTTTTGCATAATTATAGGAATTTTGCATATCACATTTATGATAATCTAATTTGCACAGTCCATAACATTGATGTTGATGTATAAAGATAAAGTGTTTCAGCTTCTCTGTTGTAATTGAGTAAGCTTATTTTCTGACTGCTGTTTTTTTTTATATATATTTGCGTGCTCATAACAATTCTTTTAAAAATCAAGAAGACATTATTTTGATATCTGGAATTTTAAAAATTGCTTAGAAAGATTATTCATTTTTAAGTTAATTGAATAATTGGTTTGTAACTTTGTATTTAATCCATAAAGTACTTCTTGCTATTTCCCTATGAAATATAAGTCGTATTTATATGGAAAGAAATGTGTATTTTAATTAAATTTATTTGAGTTCAGGAAAAAGATTACATATGGTTTGGCAAAACATGGGAGAGTATTCTCTTCCAAATTCCATTTTATTTTTTGTTAAAAAAAACCTTTTTCCTACTGATTATGAAATAGTGAGTATTCTACTTTTAAGATTTATCTTGCCTATTAGCTGGTACAGCTTCTGAGCCTTAACTAGGAGGACATAACGTTTGATTCTCCAAGAGAGAAGTTATATAGTATCCTTGGCATTGGGGTTTCTGTCATCCTACAATATATGGAGGTATTAAGTTCTTTAAGTTTGCTTATTCATGTAACTATGACATAGATTTAATACTCCTGTTAAAAAAGTAAAAAGTTCCACATGAAGGTATTCATTCCAGAATATAATCTGAGACATACCATTTTACTTTATTCTGCTAACAAATTGCTCTATGGACATACATAATCCTATCTTACTTGACTTTGCTGCCATTGGAAAGTAATAGGATTGTTACCCATTTAATTTGTTGCATATAAAGAATCTTATTTCTTTTAACTCTTGAATGTCAGGATGGGTTCTTTTGATCCCTGTCTTTTGATTATTTGCTCTAAAGTATCTCAGAGAATGGCTAAAAGAGGTAAATGGGAAAAAAAAAGAAAAATGAGAATTTCTTTATTTTATTGGCAAAATGGCATGTGGATAGATATAACTATCCCAAGTGAAAACTATTAAATATAACTTAGAAGCAATTTGAGTTTTTCTAGCCTGTTCGTTATGTCATTATCCACTTTTCTTGAGGAAAAAATATTCCCAGGTGAAGGTAAATTAGGATGGAATAAAGGCCTTGGGTGATATTATATGATTTGAAATGTGGCTCTAGAGGCCAAGGAATCCCTAACCATTCATTAGATTTCTCAGATCTTCCTTCTGCTTTACACTGGGCATGTAGAATAATTGGAAATCATTTTAAAACAAGGTGAGAACAACCCTTCCTATGTTTACTCAACAATTCTTGACTGCTCAGAGAGCAAGCCTCCTATAAGGGTAGTATGTGGGAAGGGGGAACAACTACTTTCCCAGTTGACTTGTTTTTTTGTTTGTTTTGTTTTTTAAATTTTTATTTTTTAGGTATAGATGGACACAACACAATGCCTTTAATGCCTTTATTTTTATGTGGTGCTGAGGATTGAACCCAGGTCCAGCCCTTACTAGGCGAGCGCTCTACTGCTGAGCCACAATCCCAGCCCAGTTGACTTGTTTTTAAAGTTAGTTCTTTTCCTAGAAAGCTAGGGAAAAACTAGAGTCAAAGGAGACTTTACATTCTCTTTTTTCCTTGTTCTTCTTGCTAACCCATCTTCCCACTTGTGCTTTGTTTATTGTGGGAACAAAATGAGGAACTCAGTGACTAGGGAATATATGGTTAGTGGTAGTCCTCTAATTATAGTAAGAAATTATCCTAACTGCTGCTATTTATTATTTCATTTAAGGGGCATCTTTGACGGCATATCAGCTGGGTGGGACATTTGTGATGGTGAAATGCTTAGTATCCTCCACTTTTCAGACCATACTGCATTTGCTTAGTGGCCATATGTTTCACTTTTTTGTTTTCTTTTAAGCAAATCAGTAGCTTGCAGATCCAGGTGACCTCACTGGCACAGTCAGAGAATGACTTGCTGAATTCAAACCAAATGCTGAAGGAAATGGTGGAGAGATTAAAACAAGAATGCCGAAATTTAAGAAGCCAAGCTGAAAAAGTGCAAGTAGAAGTTGAAAAGTAGAGTTTGCTCTTTTTTTTTTTTTTTTGTACAAACTATTTTTTTCTTTTTGGCATATAATACATAGTTATTTCAGTGATAATTAATTCCAATGTTGAATGTGTTTGTATTTAGTTATAAGTACCTTTTGGTAGTGTACATTTGTCTTAGGTAACATACTCTGTAAATTGAGCTTTATAGATTTTTTTAATTATTTAGAAGAAAATTTTAAAATCCTTCTTGAGCACAGTATTCTGAAAACTCTTGAAAGAAATGATCCTCTTTTTTTTTTGAGCAAACCAAAACAGTTTTCTCAAATAACCAAAGAACAGATGAGTTGATTGTGGGGTTGCTATTTTTGTGTGTTCTCAAAACTTCTTAGTATTAGAACTAGTTTTGGATTTTCCCTCTGAAAAGCTAATTTATTTGTTTATATTTTTTGACCTTGAAATTTGTTAATAGTAGTGTAGTAGACAGGGGAAAATTATTTTGGTTGTATTCAAGACTTTATGTTCTCTGGAACATTTTAATATGTGGTAGAATAGACCTGGGGAATGTGACTCAATGGTAGAGCACATACCCAGCATGCAGAAGTCCCTAGGTTTGATCCCCATGAAAGTAATGAGTAAGTAGATAGGTTGGTAGGATAAAATATTATAGTACTTTGTATTTGCTTTGTCTTTATAACAAAAAAAATGTTATTATAGATGTTTATTTCTATCTATAAAACATTTTTTTTTCAAATTTGTTCTTCTAAAGTCAGTCTTACCAAGTAAAGCTTCTATTTTCCTTCAGTTTTTCTGTTCTTTCATATTTTAAGGCTCATCCAAGGTTTCATATATCAGGTTGAATTTCAGGAAAAGGAAGTAAGAAAGGTGCATGTCCATATGTGTTATAACATTCCTGAGGGTCTTATTTTTCTTTTATTTTTCAAAAAAAATAGAAATTGGTGTCTTGAAATTCTCAAGTGTTTGTAATGAGCTTAAGAACCCTAATGACAAGCATAACTAGCAAATTTAAGAAATTTGTTGTTGTTTTCTGGGTGTTATTCATAGGATAGTTGTAGAAGAAAATAACTGGACTACAGATGAATAGAGTACAATTTTAGTCCCGACTAGCATACTTAAAATCTGTATGACCTTAGACAAGTAATCTTACTTATCATGGTTTATTATTTCTTATTTGTATTACTTATAAAAGGATATTAAAAATCATATAAAGGATAAAGAATAGCTTTAGGAGTACAAATTTTAATTATGTTACCTTAAACTGTCATTGGTTTGAATTTTACTGTATCCAGAAAACATACCATACAAAGACTTGATTCCAGGCTGATTTTTTTGGTACTGGGGATTGAACTCCAGGACACTTAACTACTGAGCCACATCCCCAGCCGATTTTGTATTTTATTAGAGACAGGGTCTCATTGAGTTGCTTAGTGCCTTGCTATTGCTGAGGCTGTCTTTGAACCCAGGATCCTCCTGTCTCAGCTTCCCAACCTGCTGAGATTACATGCATGTGCCACTGTGACCAGCTCTAGGCTGATTTTTACAAGCTTCATTAGGTCCAATTTTTATTACTTGGTGGTCTTTGTAGTTTAGACCTGTTATCAGGCATTTGTCCTGCAATTGATTAGATATGAGTTCTTACATCAGTTAATCACCTACTGTAAACCTAGTTCCTCATATATAAAAAAAAAGACATGACAAGTACTTAATTAGAAGTACAGTGACTGATTTGTAAGAAATGCTCTGTGATGTTAATGTTAGTAAATGTGTGACCAAATAGTAGTGCCTGTAGTTAGAAAAGTAGGGATATCATCAGGCAGGTAATACCTATTTAACCTTAAGCATTTATATTAACTTTCATGTTTTTGCATATGTTTATTTTTCTGACAGGACATTGGAAGAAAAACAAATACTGTGGTTGGAAGAGAAGCATAAGCTTCATGCACGTATCACAGACAGAGAAGAAAAGTATAATCAAGCTAAAGAGAAACTACAGCGTGCTGCCATTGCTCAGAAAAAGGCAGGTGGTTCTTATTAAAATGATTTCTATAGAGTAAAACAACTATTTTAGAGTAAAATGTAAAATTAAAGCTGAGATTTTAGTGACATGTTTAATTTGATATTTAAATATTACATTTCATTGTCAACCTTGCAGAGGTAAAATGGGAAAATCTAAACCATCCAGCAGGTTTACTTGTGAATTTTGTTTGAGCTGACAGGTATTTTCCCACAGAGATGATATTTTTTTAAATAAATAAAACCTTCCAGGCCAATCCATACAAGTCTTAATTCAACTCATTCTCCTTTAAAGTTATAATGTTATTAGACTTGTTTCTCCTATGCCTAACTAATATCTATAATATTGCTTCTGTGGTTAAAAGCCTTTTTTGTTTCCAACTCAAAAATTAGGGGCAAGTATCTTCATGCCCTAGTTGTAGGGCCTAGGACTCTTCATAGTTTCTGAAACAGCTACACTATTTCCACTTTGATCCTTTTAAAAATTTTACCTCTGCAGGCATACTTTTCTCTAGAAAGTAAAAGGCTTTCTTTTTTGGAAATAGTCTAGGGTATCCTGAAAATCATGTAGCCAGATATTTTCATATAAGTCAGTGGTTTATAATGTTTTTCTACTTAAGTAAACCCAAGGAATGTAGCAGTTTCCATCAGTAACAGTGACTCATTGGCAGTGATTTAGCAGTTGTTTTTAACAGAGTCTGGCTGTGAGGAGGGACAGGGTAGTGGATGTACATGTATGTGTTTGATATGTTTCCACTTAATAAGTTCTCTTTTTAGAAATGTTGGTTATGAGGAGGAGAATAACTGAGATGAGAGAAAGATAATCCTAGGTGTACTAGTATCATAATAGCTGTGTTTTTTGGAAAAGTTAATTGTTCAGATTTGAATAAGAGGAAATAACTAGACCATTATATTCCGATTTGGAAGTCCAGGACACTGTTCCTAGCAATCATTTTGTTATTGGGGTAAATGTCAAATGTGATTGACAGTTGGAGGGATAAATGAGTAGTCACTACTTCAGTGTCCCAGCTACTGATATTTTCTCCTTCCATAATGCTAAAAGTACTAAAACATTGAGATTAGAAAAACATTTTTTATTTTACAAGAATCCCAATGTTTTGTATCCTTTATGCCACTTTTATAGCCTTTTGTCCACGTAAGTACTGAAAAGCATGTGGGTGTTAGGATTTCAATACTTTTTTTAATGACTTGTGACAGTCTCAGAAATTCTACTTACGCTTCCTTGCACTGTGAAGCCTAGGCACATCTGAAGCTAAATTTCAGCCAGAAAATTCTAGAAGTAATAGGAGCTGGTTTCCCCCCTACACACACAGATAAACTTTCATGTTGAAATTTTAGGGATAAGTGTCTTAGAAATCAAATCCTAATTATTGTGGTTTAGTTTGATTAACTTCTTTTGGAGCAAAAGTGATATCCAGTGTTAAAAGAGATCAGACACTGATCAGATTAAGGAAATTTAATAGGATTGCCATGGGGCACTGGGATACATTTGAAATTAGTGATTGTTCATTGAAGGTGAGACTAGTCAATACAGTTCTGTGTATGCCACTTAAGTTTAGCTTCATGGGTGCAGGCATGTAGCATGAACTGCATTTTGCCCAGGTCAAAGTTTTTCATGCAAGTTTGAGGAAGAATTAGATTCAGATCAAGGTAATAAGGATGTCTACAAAAACAAAATTATTATAATGGTAAAGTTTTAAGGTAATCATTGGCTCTTTCAGTCAATATATGTTGAGTTTTTGTTTTTATTGTATTTGAGCTTAATTCCTGGCAGATAGTAAGTGATTAGTAAATAGTTTGCTTTTATAATGGTGAATGAAAAGATTACTAACAGTAGTCTAAGAACCTGGCTTTTGGAAGTTCATCTCCAGATTTGTCTCAGGAGGCAAATTTCAGAGTCTGTACTATAAGCTGATAATATGATGCCATATTAACCTTACATCAATGCTTTTTAGTCACCATTCCTCAGCATTAGAGTAAATTCACATCCGTATATTTTTACAGAATAATAAAGCCCAGTCCTGGTCTTAGCTTCTCTAGAATGGCTTCTGTCATGGTTTTGTACTTAAAGACTAGAATTTCTTACAGAAATCTCTATCTTTGTATATTACCTATAGTTACTATAGGGCCTGATTAAATGTACCTGTTTGATGTGTATTTTCAATGTATATATACTTGATTAAGATTTGATGGCAAGTAAAATTATTTATTCAACTACAGTGTAAATAATCAACTGAAGAAATACAATTAGATTTAAGATTGTGTATTTATGTGATCATACAGTAATGAGATTATAAGCATTTCTACCTTTAAAATATCTGCTATTGGGGCTGAGGTTGTGGCTTGGTGGTAGAGTGCTTGTCTAGCATGTGTGAGGCACTGGGTTCAGTTCTCAGCACCACATATAAATAAATGAATAAAATAAAGGTCCATCAACAACTTTAAAAAAACTTTTTAAAAACCCCTGCTATTTATAGTAACAAAAATGGCATGGTATTGGCACAAAAATAGACATATAAACCAATGGTACAGAATAGAGGACACAGAGACAAACCCTTATAAATACGATTATGTCATACTAGACAAAGGTGCCAAAAACATTCACTAGAGAAAAGATAGCCTAAAATGATGCTGGAAAAACTGGAAATCCATATGTATTAAAATGAAATTAAACCTCTATCTCTCACCTTGCACAAAAATCAACTCAAAGTGGATCAAAGACTTAGGCACTAGAACAGAGGCCCTGTGCCTAATAGAAGAAAAATAGGCCCAAATCTTCACCATGTTGACCTAGGATCTGACTGTTTTAACAAGACTACTAAAGCTCAAGAAGTAAAATCAAGAATCTACTGATGGGATGGATTCAAATTAAAAAAAGCTTTTTCTCAGCAAAAGAAATAATCAATAATGTGAGGATACAGCCTACAGATTGGGAGAAAATTTTTACCACATCCACCTCCAATAAAGCATTAATCTCTAGGATATAAAAAGAACTCCAAAAACTTTACACCAAAAAATTAATAATAACCAATAATTAATTATTGGTTATTATTAATAATTAATAACCAATTAATCAATAAATGGGCTAAAGAATTGAACAGACACTTCACAGAAGAAGAAATACAATTGATCAACAAATATATGAAAAAATATTGAGCATCTCTAGCAATTAGAGAAATGCAAATCAAAACTATGCTAAAATTTCATCTTACTCCTGTCAGAATGGCAATCATCAAGAAGACAGGCAACAATAAATGTTGGTGAGGATGTGGTGAAAAAGGTACACTAACACATTGCTGGTGGGACTGCAAATTGGTGCAACCACTATGGAAAGCAGTATAGAGATACCTCAGAAAATTGGGAATGGAACCACCATTTGACTCAGCTATCTCACTCTCGGTTTATACCCCAAAGACTTAAAATCAGCATACTATAGTAATGAAGCTCTGTCAATGTTTATAGCAGCTCAATTCACAATAGCTAGACTATGGAACCAACCAACCTAGGTGTTCTTCAATAGATGAATGGATAAAGAAAATGTGGTGTATATATTCAATGGAATATTACTCAGCTTTAAAGAAGAATGAAATTATTTATGCCAGTAAATGAATGGAGTTAAAGAATATCATGCTAAGTGAAATATGCCAATCTCAAAAAACCAAAGGCTGAATGTTTTCTCTAACATGTGGATGCTAATTCACAATTGGGCAGGGGGAACTAGGGAAGAATAGCATTACTTTAGGTAGAGGGAAGTGAAGGGAGGGGAGAGAAGGGGATGTGGGGATAGGAAAGATAGCAGAATGAAACAGGCATTTTTACTTTACATATATATGTGACTGCCTGACCAATATGATTATACATGTACACTCAGAAAAGTGAGAAATTATATCTCACTATGAATGACATTTCAAAGTACATAAATGCATTCTACTGTCATGTATAGCTAGTTAAAACAAATTTTAAAATACCTAAGAAAAGGATATGCTTTTGGAAATGACAGACTAGGAAATATGTAGATCAGCTTTCTCCATGTGCTGTGGTTTGAATATTTGTGAACCCCGCCCCATCATCCCTATTTATCTGATGAAATTCTAACCCTCCAGTTGATGGTAATAGGAGGTATGGATCTTTAGGGGTGGTTAGATCAACAAGGACAAGGACAGAGCCCTAATGAGTGTATGTAACACTGTCTTGCCCTTTTACCATGTGAGGACTGAGTGAGAAGGCACCATCTTGTGATGAATCACCTTAATCTTGGACTTCCCAACCTTTGGAACTTGGAGAAATCAATTTCTGTTATTTATAAACTACCTAAGTTCTAAGGCATTTTGTTATAGCAGCTCAAATGAACCCCATGACAACAAGGAGAATTTGAGAGAGTATTTTAAAAAATATCTCCATGAAGGTCTCAGAGAGCTAACAAGTCCATGAAAGATTAGGAGGCCAAGATCCCTAGCAGTAAGGGACCTAGAGAAGTGAGCATGGCATTTGTAGTTGCTTTTCCTTTAGGGTAAATTGTCAGTTCCAGAAGAGACAACTAGAAGCTGAGCAAAGCTTTGACAACTTCATAGGGCTTGGGAAACAAAAATTGGAGTTCAGAAACAGCCACAAAGCAGAAGATCAGGTAAATCCACTTGTGTTTTAGGTTAGAATCCTGAAAGAATTTGTCATTGAACTAAGGGTGATCTGAAAATAACTGGGTCCTTGCAATTACTAAAGCACAGCTTCAGATAATCTCATTCCTTATAATTAGATTATTTATTAATAGTTTATACTGCTAACAGCCTGCCTGACCAAAACAAATGAGTCTACTTTAAGGGAAAATAACATTGTAGGTTTGAAAAATTATTTCCTCAATTTTTTAAATTTATAATTCCCAGCTCTACAAAAAATAAGTAGACATACCTAGAACAGCCAAAATCCAAAACATTGACTATATCAAATACTGGTAACAATATAGAACATAAGGAACTCTGATTCTGG